AGGGAAATGGGGGAATATCACTTGGAGTAAGAAGCAACCTAAAGAGGATGGTCTTGCCTATGAAAGGAGGATGCATGAAACTATACAGTTGTAGGTTGGTTAGTGAATTCCATGCAACCCCTATCAACTAGCATCATTTGTGGATAGAGACTGTAAAGGAGGTTTGGGACAGTGTCACAAGGACTTATTCTCAGAAGTTGAATGTTGCTAGATTACAAGCTGAAGAATGATGTAAATAATTTAAGACAGAGGGAGAAGCATTTATCTATTACTTCTCTACACCAAAATCTCTTTGGTAGGAGATTGAATTAATGGAGATTGGAGACTATTGTGTGGGGGTGTCCTAAAGATGCTGAGACTCATAGTAAGTTAGCGGAGAGGAATCGGGTGTTCGAGTTCCTTACTAGAACAGAACACTGTCAATCCTGAGTATGATATTGTCAAACAAAACATTATAGCGAAGGACGAAGTGACCTTATCTCAAGCTTATACTATGATTAGCAATGAGGAGAGTAGGAGGCAGGTGCAAGTTACAGAAGTCTCAACTAGTCACTTTGTCAATGTTGGTATGAAGCTAAGGGCTACCACTAAGATAAAAGATGTAGTACGTGAGTACTACTAGAAACCTAAGCACACAAAGGATACCTGCTAGAAGCTACATCCAGAGCTTATACCTCCTAGATTCAAGAACAATAATAAAGAATAAGAAGAATGGGACTGGAAAAAGAGGCAATGCCAATGTAGCCACCTCTTCAGAAGTTGTGAAAGGCTATAATATGGCCAGCTCGTCAACCATTTAGAATCTACTACTACCTCCTTAGGAAATGGTTTCTCTTTTGCCAATGCCCATTCTGGTATTCGTGCCATTACGAGCCATGCTTCCATCTCAGGTAATCGTAGAATCCCTTGGATAATTGACTCTGATGCCTCTAACCATATGACTAGTGTGTGTCATTTATTTTATACTTACCAACTTTTATCTAGTAGAGAAGACTTCACTTGTTGATTGCTCTCTTGCTCCTACCTCTAGCAAGGGAAACATCAAAGCTTTAAATACTCTTACCTTATCTTTGGCTCTTCATGTTCTTAAACTTAATACTAACTTGCTTTCAGTTAGTAATTTGACAAAATCCTTGAATTGTAGTTTAACCTTTTTCCCTTCTTACTGTGTTTTTCAGGACATGAAATCTCGGAAGGTGATTGAGAGTGGCCATGAGGCGAATGGGATATACTTATTGGATATGCCTAAGCAAAGTAAAGCTAAAGCATCACCTCAGAGAATAGTTTCCGATTCTAATGTGTCAAAGTCAGTTAATTGTATAATGTTATGTCATTATCGTTTGGGTCATCTTTCTTTTTATTCATTGAGTCTTTTGTTTTCAACTTTGTTTAAAGAGGCTAAGATGTCAAGTCTACATTGTGAGTCATGTGAGCTATCGAAGCACTATAGAAATTCTTATCCTACAAGTAATAAACGATTTATAATTCCTTTTCATATTATTCACTATGATGTGTAGGGGCCACACCATGTACCTTGTATGGGTGATTATAAATACTTTATCTATTTATTGATGACTTTTCTCATTATACCTAGTTTTACCTTATGCATTCTCTGTAATTTCATGAATTTATGCTTACACAATTTGATACCCGCATCAAAATATTCCGATCAGACAACGCTTAGGAATATTTTAAGGACCTTACTTTATACTTTGAGAGATTTGGGGTTGTGCATCAAAGCACTTGTCCTTATACTCTAGAGATAAATGGAGTAGCAGAGAGAATGAATCGACATGTTATAGAAGTACCCAGGAGCATCCTTTTTGCCTCCTATGTACCAATGATATTTTGGGGTGACACAATCATGAGAATTACCTATCTTATTAACCGCATTTGTTCTCGAGTCTTGGGGTTCAAATCTCCCTTTGTTGTTTTGTTCTCCAAGGATGAGGTGTTTCCTATTCCTTTGTGGATATTTGGTTGCACATGTTATGTCCATGTTCCCAACTCTCAAAGACATAAAGTTTACTCCAAGGCTTGAAAGTGTATTTTTCTAGGGTATGCCTCCACATAAAAGGGTTATTACTGCCTTGATCCCATTAGTGGTACTCGATTTGTTTCCATGGATGTCACCTTTGCAGAGTCACTCCCTTTTTATGGTCATTCTCCTAAGGGGGAGCATTCTATTAAGTTGTTTGCTTCACCACTTCCTCTGCCATCTCTTGTTGACTTTGGGGTTGAATCCCCTATAGTTCCTTCTATCTTGTTGGTAGAATCCTCCAGTTCTCCCATTCTTCCTTCTCTTCCTCCAGGCTCCACCTACTACTCCTCTAGTTTTTAGTACTCATCCTATTGTTCAGAGGTGATACCAAAGACAAAAGCTACAACATGAACAAGTTGTTCCCCCATCTACATTTGAGCCATAGACACTCCTAGTTCCTGAACAGAGGATAGGTCCTTCATCACGTCCTCCAACACCATTCTTCCCAGACTTGGGCCTACCTATAGCTGTGAGAAAGGGTAAGAGAAAATGTACAACACATTGTATCTCCAAACACCTTTATTATAGCTTATTGTCACTATCAAGTATCATGTTGACGGTACCATTGAGAGGTACAAGGGTTGTCTAATAGCCAAGGATTATACCCAGGTGTATGGAGTTGATTATATGGAGACCTTCTCACCAATTGCCAAAATGATTTTAATGAGAGTTTTGTTATCCTTGACAATGAATTTTAATTGGTTGTTTATCAATTTAATGTTAAGAATGCCTTCTTAAATAGGGAGTTGGTTTAAGAGGTTTATATGCCACTTCCTCCTAGCATGTATGGTAAGGAAATGCAGGGCAAGGTGTGCAAATTGAAGAAATCCCTTTTAAGGCCACAAGCAATCCCCAAGAATTTGGTTTGACAAGTTCAGAATTGCACTTGTTGAATTTGACTACACACTAACATAGTCTGACCATACCTTGTTTGTTAAGAGGAAAGGTACTCAAGTTACCTTATTGTTTATGTTGATGATATTGTGGTTATAGGTAGTGATAAGAGAAAGTTCAAGCACTCAAGAATTTTCCTAACTCAAACATAGTATGTGCTAGATCTTCTTAAGAAGACTAGGAAACTTGGTGCCAAACCTGCATACACCTATTGATGCCAACCGTAAGCTCTCAGCTAATGATGGTGAGCTCTTGGCAGGCAGGGGAGTGTTCTAGAGACTTTTAGGGAAGTTACTATACCTTTGCATGACAAGGCTGGCTATATCATATGTTGTCAGTGTGATTAGTCAGTTTATGCATGCCCCTAGAGACACACATATGGCTACTGCAAAACGGGTTTTGTGTTACCTGAAGGGTATTCTCTTCTCTAGGCATGGACAGATGAATCTAGAGACTTATACAAATGCTGATTGAGTTGGTGGTATTGATAATAGAGATCTACAACCGGTTACTGTGCTTTGGTAGTGGGGAACATTGTCTCTTAGAGAAGAAGTAATCAGTAGTAGCCAAATCTTCAGCTGAGGCAGAGTGTATAGGGGTCCATGGCACTTAGAGTTTCAAAGTTGTTATGACTTAGGTCACTTCTAGAGGAGATGGGAATTGCATATGATAAGCCTTAAATGTTGTATTGTGATAATCAGGCTGCAATTAACATAACTCACAATCCAGTTCAGCATGATAGGACAAACACATTGAAGTAGACTGACATTTTATAAGAGAAAGAGTGGCTTCTAGAGTTTGTCTTCCCTTTCATTACCTTAAAGCAACAGTTATAGCAAATGTTCTGACTAAGGGTGTCCCTAAGGAAAAGTTACAACACTATGTAAGCAAACTAGGCATGACTAATATTTATGCCCAGCTTAAGGGGGAGTGCAGAGATGATTGGGCTGAATGGACCATAGTTCATTATTGTTTACTTATTTTTGTTTATGCATTATCTCTGTGATTAGTGAGCCCTAGTTATGAGTCAGTTTTATTCTGTTATTAGTATTTCTAGTGCTAGCCACTCTACTAGAAAAATTCATGTAACTATATCCTTTTTTACAGTCAAAAAAATAAAACACAGTTGTGGAGGCTGGAGAGAGGTCTGATTATTCTCTTCCTTTCCTTTTCTTCCAGCTTCTTCAATCTTCTTCTTTTCTATTTTATTTCAGATTATTGCAGGTGGGATTTACATTTGTAACTCCAGATTATAATGATCTATTCAGGTTCATTTGAGAGGAGAGTTCCATTAGAGAAAAAGTTTCAGCTCTCATACTCTTAAAAGCAGATCCGTATTTTGGCTTGGAGGGTTGATGATAGAAGGTAACTCAAAGCCCGACCAATGGGATCCTTGATTGGGAAATTTTCTTGGAAACAGTTTTTCTAGGACAGTAGTTGACATGGAGTCTTTCCTTTGGGGTACTGCACATCTGGACTGAATTATCTTGTTATATTGTATTGTAATGACATTAACTTGTCTCTCAACCTTGGGCTGATTCTGCCTTCTCCCTACCCCAAGGAATAGGGGTCATGTATTTTGCTCTTTAATCAATAATACATCCTTGATCTTGCTACTGACATAATAACACAAACAAACTTTGTAAAATAAAAAATAACAACCAATCGAGTATAACAAATTCAGCAGAAATTCCATAAATTTTTTGAGTGGTTTTGTGAACAACAAAAGCTTTAATCTCAAACTACAAACAGTTGGAGGTCAATTTGACATAGCTTTACATATGATTTAATGTTAGGATTGTATGCCACTCAGGAGTAGTTTAGGCTTTCTTCCAGCCCTTGCAACTTTTACACAACCATCAAAAAGGTTCTTTCTGTGGTTGAAGATCTCTCACATAAAAAAGCAAGTATAACCTTTTCTTATATACTGATCGGTAATGAAAAATATCAAATCAAGAGCAATTGAATGCCAACGCATTGTGTCATTGCAATTGCACATACATGTACTTGAAAGGAAAAAAAGAAAAAAAAAAAGACTAGAGGCACTTGTTAAGAAAAGTTCAACCTTTGATAGTTCCATAACATGCAGGATCTTTCTTTGTACATTCTCAGCTTCTGTAAGTTGATTGGACTTTATAAGCATCTACAAGACAGAGGTAAAAAAGAAAGAATGTCATTTTGTTTCTTAGGTACTTAGAATAAAACACCAAATATAATGAATTAAGTTTTACAGTTTAGGTCGTAATTTTGAGATGAACACGACAACATAATTTACAATAAAATGATAAGGAAATTTTAGTGTAAAAGATGTTTCTCAACAAGTCATTCACAAATGGTAGAGAAACTGCTTTGTTCTCAGGACCACTTGGTGAGGGGGATTCCACGAGGGCTGAACTCTTTGTTGTACTCCAAGGTCTGCACTGGGCTAAGGAATTGAACATAAACACTTCGATTATGGAAGAAAACTCCAAGGTTGTCATTGGTTGGTCGGAAAACAGGGAGAATGCAGTATGGGATTATAGAACTGAATTGAAACAAATAAAATGGATGACAAGGAGAATAAATTTAAAGATACAATGACTGCTGCGAACAGCAAATGGGTTGGCCGATAGTTACTCATAAAAAAAAAAAGTCATTTGTAAATGCTTGTTCACCATTGGATATGATTTGTCATTAAACAGAGGCATCAGCTATCTTATGGACTACATGACAATAGATGAAATTTGAAGCTTCCTCAGATGTACTGATTGATATCATCAGTTATCGCTATTAGGGTTTCCTACCAGATCTGCACTAAGGAATCGGGCACTTGGATGATGATGCTGTTAGACGATGGTATTTTGTTGCTACATCATTAGTCCAGAAGCAAATTATTCCAGACTGTTGAATCTCCTATGAAGTTGCCCTTGGCAATTTGGGGCTTTCAGGAGTAGGAGTGCTTTAAGCAATGTTACATGGACTCCTCTAAATGGAAGACATGTCTAGGTCAGACATGTATTGGAGTCTGACATTACACAGATTATTTAGGACACTTTTACGTAATGGGTCCTTGTTGGGAAAATTGATTTTAGTAACCTTTCCGGCGGGGTAACCCCCAGTTCCCTGGCTTCCGGAAACAGAGGCGTCGGCCCCTGTTGGCTGACTGGTCTCGCCGGACTGTTGTTGGGAGGCGAGGTTAGAGATGACCACCTTGAGATCCCTGAGTTCGTTCAGTACTTGGTGGAACCCAATCTCAAGTTGGTCGACTCTGTCTTCCATGGTAGAGGATCTTGTCTGCGGCATAGCTGGTCTACAACCTTGCTCTGATACCAACTTGGTGAGATACCGCTCACCTCGGAAGCCCCTTCGAGGGTGGCTTAACCTCYTGAAACAGAAAATGGGGAGGAAGAAGAGAAGGGAAGGTAGGAAAAGAGGGATGCAGTGAAAGAGAAAAACAGGGGATATTCATTCATTCCTTCTTTAAAAGAGTAGGGCCTTATATATCTGGCCTACAGGTGTAATCATAGAGGGAATATCCTCTGATTGGCAGAATAACTAACTGATAACAAACTCTGGGAAATATCATGGAGGGAATATCTTCTGTCGACAGAATCACCCTCTCTGTGTGTAACTAATTCTGAGGCTCTGTTGCCTGTCCCTGAGGCTCTGTCGCCTGTCCTTTCTGCTTCCTTGAGTACTGCTGATGGGTAGTGGCCTGCTCCACTCCCTGTGTTGGGTTAGGGGAAGGTATTTGGGTCCCAACAGTCCTTTTTTTATTTTCTAGTTTATTTGACAAAAATGAACAGAAAATGTACAAGATGAATGCCATTCTTCATATCAAACATTACTTGGTAACAAAAGCAACATTTTACACTCTTTCTGCAGGTGTAGAATGTTAGAATTCAAAAAGTATGAACTATTAGTATATAATTTTCCATAAATGTAGCACTTCTATGTTTTCCCATCTTGCTGATTCAGATTTTTGAGCATGCACTGAATTCCAATTTTTAATGTCACTGATTTATTTCCAAGAATGTCAATGTTGGTGGAAATATCGGTCATCCAAACATAAGAAACATGTCAGAAATATTGTAAAAATTATAAACATGGTTGAAATATTTTAAAATATGCAAAATGTGGAAAAATAAAGTGGAAGAGAAGAAGAAATGAAGAGGGAGAGAAGAAGAAATACTTCTGTATTGATAATGTGTTGATAAAACATGTTGAGCATACAACTTAAATAAGA